AGCTCTCAAATCACATAGAGTAATTAATTTTTCAACTCAAAAATAAAAGTAGAGCTTAACAAATTTGTAATTATATTAAAGTTAATATGCTATTACTCATATTGCTGACAGCAATATTATGCTGAAAGTAATATTTAATCGCCACAAAGTTCCTAAACATAATAATATAATCGGGAAAAAGTGCCAAATACAGAAAAAATTTAAACAGAAATATTTATTTTATCGATACCCTGATAAGTGGATAAAAGTAAATTCTTATTCGAAATGTTATGCATTTAGCTGAGAAGAATCTTAACGCAAGATTTTTTAATCTGCATAGTGATTACGCATTTTCAAATGTATTTTTTCACGCATTGAAAAATATTTTCACGGATGTTTTAAGCAGAATTACTTTCTACTAAGTGAGCATTTTTTGTTTAACCTTTGCTGATTATTTTGAGAATTGTTAACTTTTTACAGCAAAAGTTAGTACTTTCTACTTAGACTCTAATATCGTTTTAATATCAGTATCGCACTAAGTTCATCATTGCTTAAGAATGCTATTAGCATCAGGCAAGACTTCAACCTTGTGTCATTTCTCGTTTCACTCCCGAGCATACTAGCTATCTCCTTCAGCTTTTTTTAAAATCTTTTATTAATTTTTACCAATGTTGTAAACATTTAAAATATTTTGTGAATTTTACGTAACATATTTTTAATTTAAATATTATAAGCACAAAAATAAACTATCTTTCGTTGACATTATGTCAGAAATGATTTATGCAGTAAGTGTGAAATAGCTGCGAAATTAATTTTTCAACAAATGTTTTGATATTTATGAACAAGTGAAACAAAATTGAGCTTTAAAATGATAAAAAATTGACAAATTTGTTGTCTTTTTTAATTAAACGAATTTAAACTGATTAAAAATTGAAGAAAATTTGTGAGATTTCCGCTTGAGTTGAATTCTCGTTAGTGTCAATGCCTATCCTTTCGAACATAAATGTTCAGTCATGGATAACAAAAAGTGACAAATTTGACGTGATATGAAGAATTAGCTGATTAATAGCATGTAAGATAAGCTAAGGTAAAGTCAAAATCAAATTTGCCCATGTTTTCCAATAACTAACTCACAAACGTAAAAACGTCAAAATTTAGGTTGTGAGAAAAATTAGTAATGATATTAAACATTTCAGATTTTTTATTCTTTATCCAGCAAAACGTTTCTAGTTTCATAGTTTATTAGTAGTTTCACGTTTGCTATTTATTTTCTTTTCAAAAAAAATAACTATGAAAAGTTTATAGGGACTAAGTTTGACGTGACATAAGTAAATTAGAATAAAAGCCATCTGAAGAATTTTTCGTTTTCTAATTACTTTTTAGAAAAAAAGCATTTATTTATATTAATTTTTTAGTCCGACTTATGAGGTTTCACTTTTAGCATCAAGTAAATATGAAATTTCGATTAGTTAAATGATTGGATAATTACGGTAGATTCAAATGTGCTACAAATTTTTAATTGAACATACTTAAGAATTCAGTTATTGAATTTGACTTCATTTCATAACGGATATCAGTTTTATTAGTTGTAAATTCTATTTTATGTACGTATATCAAAAAATGTCTTAACTTAACTCTGCAAGTTTTGCTAAAAAGAGATAAAGTATGCTAGCTTACTTACATATTTACTTATTTACTCATACTTGCTTGCTTATTTATTTATAAAAATATTGCAAACATGCTTGAAGCGCTATTATTTTCATCAGTTTTGATTAATATCATTTTATCATAGATTCTAATGCTCTCATGCATTTTTCTTCAATATTAATATAAAAAATAAAAAGGTAAGTTATTAATTATTTTGTAAATATATGTGCATAAAATATTTTTTATTATTAAAACACTGGGTTGATGAATGATAAAAATATAACAAAATTAAATACACCATTTTTTCAAAATTTACAGAAATATTTACAGAAAAAATTTTAAAGTTTATCATTTAATGCTAATTATTACAGTTATAATTTGCTAAAAATTATAGCTAAAAGTTTTTGAATATTAAATATAAATAAAATTTTCATATAATTTAGTTAAAAGTTATTAATATTTACAGAAAAAATTTTATTGCTTGTTAATAAAATTTGCTTTTTTTAATCTTTCAATATTAATAAAACGGATTTGTTATTACTTACCTTTTGGCCAGTTATCTATTCTATCTAATTCCAATATACTTTCAGTTACTTTTAAATTAAATATATTTGTTCAACTCTTCGTAGCTTATAATTGTTTTGAAAGCACTGATCAGTTATATTGATAACATTCGCAGAGTTAGTTATTACTTATTTGGTATGCAAATGTCAATAAATAACCATTTGAAAAAAATTCTTATTAACTACACATTGGTCGCAGAAGTTTTTATTTTTTAAGTTTTATTAATTTGCATTTCAAATAGTCTAAACTTGTTGCAGTTTAAAAATTTAGAACTTACGCAAATGCTTTATGAAAGGTTTTCGGCTACAATCACTGCAAAATATTTGATCACAACATAAAAGTTTCACTTGACCGTTGACCTTTTTCTATTAAGCTTCATTTTTGAGGATATTCTGTCACTTTACTTCAACAATAAAACAAAAATATTTTTGTCTTAAGGTTGCTTTGATAATGAACAACTTGCCTATTAGTTTTAACAAATTTGTGGAACCTTCAAAAAAAGTACTGTCTGAATATACCCAACCAGTGTCAAGGTAAGCTACATTTTATTTTAAATTAATTAATTGCAGATATTATTAAAAGTTAGCAATAATCGATATATATTTATAATATAATGATTATAACATTTTTTTTTTTTTTTGAAAAAACCAAATTATACGAAGCAGAGAAAATGAAAAATTTTATTGCTCAGAAAAAAATTAATAATGACTTGATCATTTTGAGTTGTAGAATTTTTGAATATTGTTTTGAATTACGAATAATAAATATTAAAATAGCTTGTCTAATGCATTAGTGAAAGAGCCTAGCCACTAAGAAGATTTATTTAATGCTCTTTTAAGCATCTAATAATTGAAAATGGATATAACACAAAATAAACATAAATATTTTATTGAAATCAATTCCAAATTATTTTCAGATTTTTGGAGAATAAAGCTAATCTGAATGCTGAGCAATTTAAAAATGAGAATGAGCATGGATGCGTAATGGATGAAGCATCAGAAAACACTTCTCCAATGACTTCTGCTTCTAACAAATTGCTTCAAGTTAGTAACTTCCTAATACTTTGAGTATAGTATATTGCACAGTTCTTAATTGAAATAAATAATAATTAAAAATATGTATATATATTTCTTGCTCTACTTAAGTTTAAGTATATTCATCTTATTCACTAATAAAGATTCTTTTTTATAATTTATTCTAAATGATAAGACAGAAGTAAAAAGTTTTTTTAATTAAATTCTTTTGCTTATTACTTATTTCAATTTATTATTCTTTCTTAAAATTTTAAATCAATATTCAAAGTTTTATCAGGCTAAATTGCTAGTTACTGGAATAAGCTGGCTTAAACCCATTACTTGTATTGAACTTATCATATAAGGAATTATACAAAAGAAGTGAATGTGACATTTTTGATATCTGAAAATAGTAATAATTTAAAACTTTACTGTAAAAAAAAATATGATGTTCACGTTTAACACTTAATTACTGTTATCTAAAAAGATTACAGTTGACCTTAAAATTCTGTAATTAAAAAAAAATTGTCAGAAATTGTTTAATTATAGGAAAATTTACAACATTCAAGTCAAATCAAATCAGTAACAATTAGTAATATAAATGACAAAAAAGTGCTTTACATGGGCATAGTTTGTAGTATGCAAATTACAATGAACAATGTCTTTTTAATCATGTTAATGAGTTAAAATCTACAACCAAACGATAAATTAATATCTATGGAAACAAATTTATATTCTTGTGTTGAAAATAAAACAAATCACTCTTTAAGTAATAAATGATCACGTAAATAGTTAGTAAATAACAATGTTAATCATAATCTGAATATTTATTAAAAAGATTAATAGGTCAGATTATTTTAGGCTGTTGATAAGTGTTCATGTTGTCAATGCGCAAAACGATGGCAGCTTGCAATTTTAGCTAATCTCGGATTTCTGATTGTTTTTGGGATTCGATGTAATTTTGGTGCAGCTAAAACTCACATGATAAATGATTATACTGATTTCTGGGGCAAATACCATGTAAAAATTAGAAATTTTTGTTTTTCAACTATTTTAATTTATAATTCTTTGCAAATTGCTTTTAAAAAGTCGTCGTTTAACAATCATCAGAAGCCTTTCACATAAAACTTTGTTGATTCTACGCCTTAATTGATTAATTAATTGCAAAATTAGCTCAGATCAACTCATTCATTAAGATTTCGCATTAGCTGCGAATATTTTCTTCTGCGAAATTTCCGAACTAAGTAATAATTATTTTTTTCTTTTTTTAAACAATTTGATAATTCTCGTTCTCTTAAAACTTTTACATTAAAAAAAGTAATCTTTAATTTAAAGTTGCTTACTTATGCTAATTACTGTAAGAAATATTTTTTGATTGCGTTCTGAAATCACAAATATCTCTTCTTAATACGTTTTATATTGCTTTTTTGGTTACATAACACGTGGCAATTTTTTATAGAAACGTGAATTTAATTGGACATTAACTGAACTTGGTATCATGGAAAGTTCATTTTTTTATGGATATTTGGTGACACAAATACCTGCTGGATTTTTGGCTGCGAAATTGGCACCTAATAAGTAGTTATTACGTTTTGTTCAGCTTATTTATAACTTGGATTTATTTGTTTTAGCTAAATTTTTTTCATTCGCAATAAATTTTATTCAAATTTTTAATCAAATTTTCAATGATTAATTTTGTTTCAATGAATAATTTTGGTTAATTTTAAAATTTCATTAACTGTCTATGCTTTCAAAAATAGAGTACTGTATTAAGTATTTAAATTTATAATTCATTATTAAATTTAAATACTGATTTCAAAGACTGTTTGGCCTTGCCATTGGTTTTGCGTCATTTTTTAATATTTTGCTACCTTTTGCATTTCGTGCTCATAACGATACAATTATTGCTTTTATTCAAATATTGCAAGGACTTGTGCAGGTGAAATATTGTTGTATTTATTATTATTATTATTATTATCATTTATATTCTTGTTAAATAAGTTTACATTACTCAAATTGTTTCAGTTAGAAAAATTCCTTTAAAAAAAGTCTTAGAATGGCATTTTTTACTATATTTTTCCTTGAAAAAAATATACACTTTATTTTCTACAATCAAAGTTTTCATCAAAAGCAAACTATTATTCAGTATGTGTTCGTTTGTTTGTTTTTGAGATAAAAATATTTAAATAAATTGTTGAATTGAATATTTTTATCAAAACGAGCAAAAATAAATGCAACGAAAGTCAGTAATACAAAATAGATATAATAAAAATTGTTAAATTTTATTATATCAAAAAAACAAAAGTGTAAGGGTTACGTGAATGACGAAATTTCAGGGTGTATCATATCCAGCAATGCACGGCGTTTGGCGTTATTGGGCACCACCATTAGAACGTTCAAAGTTAGCAACTACAGCATTCACGGGTTCATATGCAGGTGCTGTTATTGGCTTACCTGCGTCAGCTTGGCTCGTAAGCTACGTGCATTGGTCTGCACCTTTTTATGTTTACGGTACGATTATTAATCATCACATTTAATATTTGACAATACATTTAAATGTTGAAAGTTGAAAAAAAATGAAATCATTAAAGAAGAATACTCAAACATTTGCAGGTATTGCGGGTGTAATATGGGCTGTGTTTTGGTTTGCATTAACTTTTGAAAGTCCAACATTCCACCCAACAATATCCCAAGAAGAAAAAAGATACATAATAAAGGAAATTGGACCTGTCTCACTTGTTCATCCAACTGTAAAATTTAGCTTTACAAAATTCACTTTTCTATCAATGAAAATTTTTTCATATTTTATTCGCAAACAAGCTTATTACTTTTAAATAACTTACTTATATTACTAGAAATATTACTTATCAATTAATCAATTTTTAGCATAAGTAATTTACAGCTTAAATCAGTTCCTTGGAAGGCAATTCTGCAGTCAAAACCTGTTTATGCCATTGTTGTAGCAAATTTCGCTCGAAGTTGGACTTTTTATTTGCTACTTCAAAATCAATTAACTTACATGAATGAAGTACTTGACATGAAAATCAACAATGTAATTTGCTCATTTAATCACCATCATTATATATATAAGTTATTGCTCATAATCATAATCATAATAATAATTATTATTATAATTATAATAATTATTATTATTTTGCATAAAAACAAGAAAAATTCGAATGGAAGAGATAAGTTATTAATTGAAATAAATATTTCGAAGGTTATATGAATTTTACAAAAAATTGTTAGTATTATTTAGAAGTAAAATTTAAAATTTAATTGCAGAGTGGACTGATAGCTGCTTTGCCACATGCAGTAATGGGTGCAATGGTACTTGTTGGTGGTCAATTAGCTGATTACTTACGATCACATAAAATTCTTAGTACAACAGCGGTTCGAAAACTTTTTAATTGTGGCGGTAATTAATTCAGTAAATAATTAAATTAGTAATCAAGTAAATAAGTTGTAAAATGCAGACAATAAATATAAAATAAGCTAATACACTACTTTTTAACTCCCACAAATGTAGTATAGGTTTTCGTTTTGTTTCTAACAGATATGCATTAATTTCTATACATATTGATTTAGGTGGCAGTTTTTTGAGAAGTTTTTTAGATATCCCAGAGCTATTTTCTAATGAAACAATTTTATATTCTTGTTATGCAATAAGACTGCTAAAAAATTTGTTAGCCTGTTTGACAGTTTTACACACTAATTTAAAAGTGATTTTAATTTGTAATAAGTAACGAACTACACTGAACTAACTTCATTAATGTTTAAATAAGCTATTTTTCTAGCAGTTAAAATTTTCACTAATTAACTTCCATATAAACGTACTCTTATATAGTAATGAAATAATACTTACTTCTGTCTTGTTGAGATTTTAAACTAACTTTTGTTTCAGACAAAAATTACTAAAAACTAAATTTTAAATCGAAAAAGTCAATTTTGAAAGTTTCACATGAAAAAAGAATGAAAGTCATTATTGTCGAGATTTAAGCAAAAATTTTAGGTTTTGGCGGTGAGGCATTATTCATGCTAATTGTTGCTTATACAAGCAGTGAACGAACTGCTATACTTGCACTAATACTTGCAGTTGGTAGTAGTGGCTTTGCAATTTCAGGTCCATTACTTTTAAGAGCAAATACCTCCACGCATTAATAATAATAATAAGTGCTTATTAATCTCGTCTACTAACTATTAGAACACTCTTCTTGTTCTTTAATAAAATTTAAATTCCATTAAAAATAAATTCAGCAATAATTGTCAATAATTTTATTTTTAAATCACATGATAGTAATTATATATATATATATATGTACTTCATTTTTTCAAATCCCCTACCAAATTTTATTAAAGTTCCTCAGTTGATTGCTATCTCATAGTATTCTGGCTACCGGCTTAATTTTAATCCAAAATTCCAAAGGAATGAATCTCTCTTGAGTACAAAAAGTAATACACTCATGAAGAATTCAATCAATCACTTTTTGAAATTTGTCTAAGTATGCTCGTACCTGAATAATTTTTCAGATATACAAAAATTTATGTACTTTCAATTAAATTTTAGATATAATCAAAATGCGAATAATTAAAAACTTATATTCTTCAAAACTGTAAGCTATGTAAATTACCAGCAAATAATAAGAAGCTATTAAAAGCTCTGTTCACATGGTGTTAACTAATCAAGAAATAATGTGAATCATATTTTACAAAATGCTGTAGGTTTCAATGTAAATCATTTGGATATAGCGCCACGTTATGCAGCTATACTGATGGGTTTTTCAAATGGTATAGGTACTTTAGCTGGACTTACCTGTCCATTTATAACAGAAAAATTAATCGCACGTGGACCACGCGGTTGGGAGAAAGTATTTTTACTTGCAAGTTTGATACATTTTACTGGTGTTACTTTTTATGCAGTATATGCATCAGGAGAGTTACAAGATTGGGCTGAACCAAAAGATGAAGAAGAGCCTTGTTTTGGCAAAAACAGTTAGTTTACTTCATTTTCACTCATCGTTATTTTAATTATTACATATTTCTATTCTTGGATTTGTTGATTCATTGCTATTAAGAGTGAATTATAATTGAGATCGGGCTAAAATTACATTACAATCATGAGCAACAACAGGTAACGATGATCGTGGAAGATATGGTGCTGCAGTAAAATCTGAGCAACCAGTACAAAGCGATCCTATCTCACAGTTGAACAAAATATGGAATGGTATTTCTATACTAGTAATCAAATCAATCTTGCAAATATGCACTGAAGCTTTAATTATTGAATACCTGAATAAGTTCATACATTCAATAATTAATACTCATACTACCAAGTTGTGCGAGTTAAATTTATAATTGAATTAATAATACTTTTGCAGACACATCATCCAGCAATGAAAGACAAGACAATTGTGATCCAATAGCTTATGGATATGTACATGATAATATTATAAGCAGATAAGAAAGTGCACAATTATGACACATGGTAAAACTTACTGCTGAACCTTAACTACCAATAGTGATATGTGGTAACATTGTCGTGACATAGTAGTCTTCAAAAATTGTTTTCGATAAGCCATAAATATTTAAAATACTCTTGCTTGCATGATTCTTTCGACAAACCCTTGGGTCTTATATTGACATTACATTACAACAGCTGTAGTGCTAGCGTAATTACATCACCACTTGATTAATTTATCAGTTCTTTTGATATCACTTCTCGAGCTTCATGGTAGGTAGCTAATTGGACACGACTTTCCATCATGCAATCAATTTAAATGTGGCACCTCTTTATTTCAACCTTGATCATATTGACAACATACCAATTGGCAAGACTTATCATCCACAGCAGAAGCAAAACAGATATTACCTTTCGAAAACAAACATAAAGATTGCCAATTCTTGACCAATTCCAGACCTCTCATCACAACAGCTAAACAAGTAGACATTCTACAAAGTTCCACTACGCTGATGCTACTTACTTAAAGCAGTCCAACACAAAAGAAATAATGGCTATACTTTGAATAGAAATAGAAACATATGAATGAAAACAGAAACAGAAGCATACCAGAGGTTGACTCCTTACTTATCTTCATTACCTGTTTCAATGCATTACATGCTCTGTTCAAATAAAACACATACGTGTACTCACATCAGACACACACACACACACACACACACACACACACACACACACACACACACACTCATAAATCGAATCCTTTATCAATTTACTTTTCAGAGAGTTCACTCTGTGTATATCCCGCCACTTATTCTTAACTTTTAAGTAATGAATTAATAATTTATTAAGTAAACTAAAACACAAAACTTAGAACAGAGCAAACTAAAAAACATTAGCGCTGTAAACGTCTAATTCAAACCAATTTTTGAAGAATACAGACAATAAATAGGTTATAACGAATGGAACGAAGGAAATGTTCCAATTCAATTTGAGCAAAATTACAATTAAAATGTGCAGTCAAAACTAAATTTCACCACATTAGAATTAAGTGCGCTCAAAACTCCTTGCAAAAGTTCAGAATTTACTTTTAAAACGACCAAACAATTTCTCGAATCTTTGATTTTAATTTCTTAATTTATTCGTTCCTATTTATCAGAAAATTTTTTCATGAAGTTAAAAAAGAAATTCTTAGTTACATGCATGACTTAATTCTTGACTAATAATTCTAACTGAAATCAGAAGCAAAGGAAGAACGTGAATCTACACGAGCAAACGACAAGTATTAATTAATATGATGGAAGAGTAAGAAACTACACCTGCTGAGCCTCACTGTTTACATCAAAACATTGAAAAAAGGGAGCAGCTTTCACAAATTAAACCTAAGCTGAAAACGGAGTTCCATATTCTCACTATACGAGTAAGGATTTGATTTAGAAAGGATTGAAAAAAGGTAGAACTTCGTCACTACTTTTCACAGTTTCAGTCAGCAGTTATTTCAATAATACCAACACAAGCTTTTACACCGTCTCAACAATTTCTACAAAAGTTTACGATTGACAAATTGACAAACTGAAAATAAAGCCCCATACTTCCACTTAAAAAACTTTGTTAATACACAAAATTAATTGGTGGAAATCCACGTTTCATCTTTCTATGAAGTGAATTTTAGATATTCATCAAAAACTAGTTATGCAACACAAAAATTGCTAACATATAATTCCACTAATCTATTCAGTGAAACTGTAAAAGACAGAAATATATTTCTATTCATTTTCAACCCTTCCTAAAACAAATCCTTACAAAGTACTGAAAAGCAGTACTCACTATTCTAAGAAACTTTTTTTAACTACAGAAACTATTCCCACTCTTCTTACAATCCCTTACTCCTTTATATTATTATACTAAACTTTATGTACTATTAAGAAAATAATACAAATGAATAATAATTACTAGACTGTAGTAAACAGCAACTATTCTTACTCTTCTTAAAACTCATTACTCATTTATCTCATATAAATACACAAAAGCAAACAACAGCAGCAAGATGTTTTCAGAAACACAAAAGGATTCTATCGAAGGATAAGAACAACAATCATACTATTGTAACCAAACCGATATTTTATAATCTACTATTGCTTATTCTTAGTGTCCTTCCGCTTATTGCCTTCCTTTGCTTTTTGAACACCTTTCTGTTGGTCAGTTGATGATCGCAACTGTGATTCTGACTCTTCTTCTTGCTTTCTTTCTTCCTTTCTTCGTTTATATTCCCGGTAATTTAATGGTGCTACAATGAAACAAAAATTGAATTAAATTCACTTCATCTCTAATTCAATATCAAAAATAAACGTAAAGATATTAAATTTACGAACCACCAGTTGAAGTATCAACGAAATATTTCCAAAACTTCTGCATAACAGCGATCTCAGGCCGTTCGTTACAATTCACGATAGACGAGCTCTTATTTGTAAGATCGTTTTCCGGTAAAACAACTTGCTTCCCGCTATCCAATTTAAGTACTATTCCGGATACCTGAGACTGAAAAACAGAAGTTTCGTCTTGGTCTTGGAATCTAACGAATAAAATACGAATCAAAAACACATTCAATTCAATCAGCAAATATTTGCAGTTTCTCACACCCAGATCTATATTGTTTGGATAAGACAGTTAAATTATTACTTTGAAAATCGCTCCAGAACTATTTCCAGCGTCTACTTTTGCTTCAACTTCTACTCCCGATTCTGCTTCCACTACAGCTTCAGCTTCTCTTTGCGCTTCTGCTTCAACACTGCATGATACTACTTCTAAAAGCATAAATTGCAATTTAAAAAAATTCTGCAGCTCAGAACCTGTAGAAAAAGCTCGATCAGAACATTGCTTGAAAATTTTATTTTTTAAACACTTGACGAAAACATTTGATTGAACAACGTTACTTCTAGAAACTTTTTTAAAACTTTTGCTAAAGCTTACCAGCAAATGAATCTGCATTAGACACTACTTGCTGTTTCTCATTTTGTTCCATTTCTTGGGCCTTTTCAGTATGACCTAAAAAGGATAATTACATTTGTGTATGTTCGTAATAAGAGCAAAACACAACTATATATGATTAAAATAAAACAAACCACAGACAAGTGAATGCCCATCAGCTGAGGTTACACGAACATTCAAGGAATGATGTGCAAATGTATCTTTAGGACGCGATTCTACATTTTCATTACCTAATCTTTTTTTGGCAATGTCAGCCCACGAACTTTTACCTGAAAAGTAAAAGGAAAATATTTTACAAAACACGATTAGAATACATGTTATAGATAATAAAAATTTCCAGTTATGGAGTTATAGCATAGAAAAAAATTTTTAAAAACAGTCAGATGAGAATTACCATTGACGCTGTCCCTTTTTCGTTCTGAGTCTGAAGCAGCTTCGGGTGATGATGCAGCAACAATAATGCTACCCTTCAAATAAAAATAATATATCAGCAACAAATTAATTACAAAAGATTTGAGTATTTAGTATGAAGAGGAAAGCTCACACTTGCTGTAGCAATGGCGGCAGTAGAATATTTCGGATTCTGCAATTGGCTAGTTCGACGATCTGGAGATGTTGTACGACTGGCTTGATGAGATGCCCCCCCATATTTTCCTTTTCTACCACCGCCTAATGTCGCTGTAGCTTTAACCTGCGTCTGCTGCACTAACCACTGTCCTCCTTGATTTTTACCGTCCATATTGCTGCTCTAGATATAAAATTTTCGTTAAAAAATCTAACTATTCAACATTAACATCATTTCATTCATGATATCAAACAAATTATTTTACATTATACAAAATAAGCACAAAGATTAAATTGAGTATACACCAATCACTTTCCTCATAATTTGTTTCATCCTTACTAAATCACTTCTCCACATATTTAATTTTCTTCTATAAGCTCAGCATGACGAGAGATTTTAGCCATATTGTGTAGTGCAATTAAAGTTCTTCATAACAATAAGTAGACATATACTTTATATATATATACCTTATGATCAACTGGTGAAGGAGAACGAATTCCACGTGATAATGGCAGATTTTTCTGTTTTTCTGACGGAAACTGTACGGAGCTTCGCCGCATCCTATCTCCATTTTCACGCCTACCATGATTTTTACCTCCTCGTTCTGCGGTACTGCAAATAAATATTCTATGCATTGTTAGTTCGATAAATTACGAATAAAGTGCAGTTTGTTAATTCGTAGATGATTTACGCTTTAAAAAAGTATTTTTATTATTTTTCAAAGTTAATCTGTTCGTTACTGTACTCATCGTTACCTAGTAGTGTAGGTAGATCGTCTATCTATTCCTGTTACATTTACACCTTGCTGATGATGAGCAAAACCAACACCTGCACCAGTACTAACTACTCCATTACCACCACCTCTTCGTTTACTCTTGGCAGTAACTTGAATAAATCCAGTCTCCTCACTTGTAACTGGAGGCACTTTATCATTTCCATTGTCAAAACGATAACTTGCTCCATCTCTTACTAAATCTTTTGAACCGGAAGGTCTCGACTGTTCATGTGCCCTGTACTGTCGCACCTTTGCTGTCTAAACATATAAAAACCCATTAGACGCCACCTTAAATTTTGTTTGAGTAGAACCTTATTATTAAATATAAAATCTGTATGAAATAAACACTTATACACATGCATATTAGAAAAGTTCAAACCCATAAGCACGCTCACGTAAAAATAATAGGTAATGTGAATAATCATACAGAATTATCGGAGAAATCGACATTTCTGCCTTCCTCTGCGCTCAAGTACTGCTCATCTTCCTCAATTCCTTCTTCTTGCGCTCTTGTTGTTTTTGTGGTACGATAAGCGAAAGCTTTAGCGCCACCTGCTGACTGCTGTACTTTAACCACTGGCGATGCAGTTCTCACTATTTTCCTCTACAGTTACAATGTGTTTAACAAAAACTGCTAGGAGACCGACACTCCACTGTCTACTATTATTATCATTATATGTGTAGGCTAAATAACCTACAAACTATAAAAGTAATATAATGATAATAACGTTCACAAGTAATATAATGATAATAACGTTCACAAATGTAGCTACTAATGTAAAATAAAAAAGTCAAATTAGCACTACTTCCATACGCTCCATTTTTCTTTTCTTTGTAGATATCAATGATTACCATGTAAGTACAAAGGCATAGGTCGAAAACAATCACAAAATATAAAGCAAATAATCATACATACTTCAGTAGGCTGTGCAACTTTGACTGACCCATATTTGGGCTCAGGCGTGATCGCATGCTTACTAGCGACGACGCTTGGAGTCTGCTTATCAGTATCATCAGTTTTTGCCAAATGTTCTACTTCATTACTATTGGCAGGCTCCGTACGTTTGACAGCCATCTAAACACAGTCATCAAATGGCTCATACTTCAGTTATACAAATGAATATAGCAGTTTACGACATTAAAATTATTAATAAAATAGAAATTTCTTCAAACCTTATCTGATGGTCGCTCTTTCTTATCACCTTTTTTACGACCAGTGCTGTTGCTTTTTGAACCACTGCCCATTACAATGGACTGATCCTAAAAAACACGCACTATTATAAATTATTACTGATAAAAACGACCAACACTACAGCCAACAATTGCAACAATAATCTAAGAATAGTGCTGAGAGCAACATGAACCTAAATAAGATTGCAAAAAAATGAGTTGAGGAGCTTGTAAATGACCTTTGTGAGGACCGGAGCAGGAGGAACATTATGTAAATGGTGTCTAATAATAATTTGTACGATATAATATAACTACATCATCTACTAATCATAGACAGTGTAGGCAGAAGCCATACAGTATGGAGCGAAGAAAGAGGTAAGAAGATGAGAAGTACTGAGTAATAAATGCAGAGAAGGTCAAATTTGAATTTTCTAATTATGCACAAGTATTGCTGGATTACCTCATCAATATGAGCAGCATTAAGATATGCACTGTGCATTACTGCTTAGGCAGGCAACACTCAAGACGGAAAGACCGAATCAGCCAATAAATGAATGACCTCTGCTAGCCAGAGACACTGACCTTTGGAGGTCAATGCCACTTACTCTTGCGTCGATGTAAGACCATATACTCCACTCCTCAACAATACATCTCACAACTGACGTCTGGATGAGAGGTACGTAAGTAATAAATGCAGAGGAGAAAGGTCAAAATTGAATTTGTCTATTTTATGCACAAGTATTGCTGGATTACTTCATCAATATGACAGATGTACAAAGGTATCATAAAATCACCCCCATGGTAACATTTTTTTGACTTGCAAATGCTCAAAAAATATAAGAAGCAAAAATATTCACATGATAATATAATACTTTTTAATAAATGTCACGAACGAATTATATTACTGACGTGAACATTACTTATTACTACTCATAACCGAACAAATCATACTAGTATTAGGGAGATTAGAAAAAATGTCAATAGTGAAAAATTAATAATAGACAAAATATTAAAAAAATAAAAAAACAAACATGCCTTCAACGTATTAGTCGTCCCATTTCTTTGACTGCTCTTGTTTCCACTTTTCCCCTCACCTTCAATTCGTTTCAGTATTTCATCGGGTGACAAATTCCCCATATACCCTAAATCACATCACATCACATCACATCACATCACATCACATCTTTATCTTAACCAAAATAGATAAGATAAAGTTCAAGTATAAACAACATATATATATGATGAGTCAGAAATGACGCATCAGCCTGCTACAATGCTATCACTAGATTAACCAATAGCTCGACCTGATATTACCTTCTAAGCACTACTTACTTGTGCTTACTTACTGCTAATAAATTTTAATCATTTCTCAGATCTCATAACTCTAACTCTCTCCACTTAAATTGCTATTTATTAATTCTTATTTGGTAGCAAATCTATACACCCACACTTCATTTACCTTACGCGTTCGTTACATGCCAACACTAGGCACTAGGCACTAGGAACTAGGAACTCTCTGAAACAACGATCACTCACTAGCACTCAAAAATAACACTTACGCAGTGTCAGTATCCTTCTATGCTATTAATAAACTGCTTGTTCACATGTATTGCACTGTGTTCTCCCAATACTATTTTCACTATGATACCGCTATCTCTTCAACAATAACGATAATTATATCCAAAATTATTGTCACCGCAAGGTGTAAAATTGAAATAGTAATACTACGACAACTGTCATCTATTCTAACCCCTCCTGTTCATTCTGTACTCATCTCTCGCTTGCAATTGCTTTCAAACTAAGTAAACACAAAAAACAAACAGACAGCACTCAAATCGATAACTTGACTTTCAATATGTCAGTAGCTTAGATGAGATAGGTCAGGTTACTCAAACTAGTCTCAGGTTTTTATTACACAAAACTAATGCTTTCTTTCCTTTCGAGTAAAGTCATTCCATCAAATGAATAAGCAAAATAAACAAATATTCCAAAATTCACTAACCGATTACATTTGCAGGCAATATTTTCCTGTATATGGAATGAAGCATAATATGTCTATGAATATGTATGAATTTATTGCAAATGCCTTATTTAGGTGTTTATACGTTGTTTCTAGATATAACTAGACGTGTGTTTATTGATTCCTATACGTGTATCAGTCTACAGTTTAATGCGATTTCCTTTACTTTAATGAGTGTTGTTGCGGAGAAAATTAGAATCCAGTAGAGAACGAATTTTTTGGTCTGTAATACAATTAAATCAGACTGGATTAATAGAAATAGAACAGAATGACGGGGAGAAAGTGATTATACACGAACTTTACTGGATGAATGAATAACACTACCACTACTGGTAAAATGATTCTTGCTACAATGACATTGAGCAATAATTATGAATACGATAATAACGATAACATTTGACACAATAAATAGATATTAAGTACTTGTCACCTTAAATATTTGACACAAGTCATAGTCATTACAAAAGCACATTTGAAAAAAGACAAGAATAATAAATTTACAGAAAAATATAGATCACATGCACTCTTGGCTCTACCGAGAAATTATGCATGTGTAGGTATTGTATAAATAAGGTAAATAATAATGTATGATCTTGCATAAATAAGGTAAATAAAAATATGATTAATTACCTAAATTGCACGCAGTCAAGAATATGCTAATTACTCATCTTTCACTCAACACAAACACCTAAAAATCATTCATAATGCATAAAGTTTGATGGAGAAGAAAAATGAAAATTTGAATTCTCGATTACTACAAGAATTATTTGATGCAAGCATAGCAATCAAAACCAACTCCTTCTCCCAAAGCAAATATTACAGTTATTACATTTATAATAAATAAAATATTAGACGCAAAAGTTTTTATCCAGTTTTCTATGCTAATAATTGTCTGAACAACACTAGAAAAGAAATCAGTAGTTTTCTAAAGATTGTAAGGAAATAAAATTTCTCATAAACATGCAAGGCAAATGGCAAATGCCTTTTTTCAAATATAATTGTGATTTAGTAAATGATAACATAGCTTACTAAAGTAAGCATCATAAAAAGTAAATCCTACTTCATTCATCCAAAGTATTGTTAAGCTTTATTTTCTTAAGATTCAAATAGATAAGTGAACAGATTTACTTACAAAAAATAATTATGCAAGCTAGTAAAGGATAATACTGCTTCTTGACAAATGACTACTGCATCAATTTTCATAATTACTCAGTCGTTACTTTTACGACAACTCGTGTTCAATTGCTCTCAAAGTAACGATTTTAGCAAAAAATGAAATTGTACTAACTTTCCTTCTGCATTTTCCGTTCACAACGTGACAAAAACTCACTACCATTATTCGCCAAGCCATAAAAACTGGCAAGTAAATAAAACTTTCAAGCTGATACTTTCTTTTAATTGAACACGAAAAAAAATGGAACGTTTCAGTAGCTTAAAATACTTAAGATTGTCATCTTAGCAAAACAACTATCCGTCTCTCATTATCTCCAGCATTCACTTACTGTGAGAGAAAGGTAAAATAAAATATTTTATTTGGTAAGAATAAATGCCTGATTTGGTAATTAGATTAAAGAAATAATTCATTCAACAACAAAACAATACACAAATATAATCTAGGTCGAAACTGAACAATTTTGAAAAAAGGTAGTCAAATGAAAAATAAACATCATATCAATCTCCATATAATTTAAGTGATTTATGACTACGTAAACCTTGATATGAAATCATTCCCATGAATAAAATAATTGAACAACACCATAAACTACCAGTAAATAAATGAAATAAAAACGAGTATTCATGCCAAATAATGCGGCAATTACTTGGTCTCAAAACTGTGTGGTTCATCATTATTACACCACTTACAAAGCGAATATTGCAAACCAAAGGTACCAACACATTGCACATTTCTAATTCCAAGTTAACCATTATGATGCGACAACGACGACAGCAACGACACATTCTCGTAAATACATTACTTAACAAGTTTGCATTTCTGTTCCCGTACATCTCATATAGGAAGGCTCCTGTTTAAATATATAAATAATAGACAAACACACAGACACACACACGCACACACAGCCATATCAAACATGAAATGCATACATTCACCATCTATTTTAAATATCAAATGAATGCGGATTTATCATTTCTGCCTCAAAAATCGGTTGTAGAAAATTTCGTTACAATTAACAAAGTAAGGCTTAGTCCCAGCTTTTTCATTTATTTTAATTTCCATAACAAGTGTAATACTAGCAAGAATTAA